GCTGAATTTCTCACCAGCGATCACAATTAACCACGTAACAGGGGGGGCTGGTGTCATCTCATTTATATTCACTTAAATTTTTTTGTGACGAATGTTTTTTATGAATTGTACTCGTTTTTTACATGTAATTCTTGATAAGCATTTTACCAATAGTACATGGAACTATCTGTCCCATTATGTTTTTTCTTATATTTGTGCATTGAGTGTTCTCCTATGTCCAGTCCATTTACACAGTTCATACACCTTGATGTACTATTTAATCTGACGATATTTCACGTAGCTTTGACTTTTTTTGTCTTCCAATCAATTGTCCTATAAAATCGCTGACATATTTTGAATCTACTTTTGAAATTCATACAAAATTCTTTTATCTTAAAAATTTTGTCTTTGATCCCTAAGGTCATTTTAATTTTTCAAAAACATACTGTTTTTTTTCAAATTTCTATGGAATTTTTCGAGAAAGCATTTGTAAGAGTGATTAAATGTAATTTTAACCAAAAAATGAATCATATACCCAAACAAATTGTTCGTATGATAAGTTAAAATTGTACATAATATTTTCTCATACTGCGTTTTTCGAACTATACAACTCGTAAACAGTGATCTGTAGTACATATAACAATATACATTTTGTATTTGGTTACATTTAGCCTTTGATACAATGATATAGATGAATACTGATTTGACTGCATCAGCAAGTTTAAGTTTCAAACTAATCAAAAGTCTTTTGTTCGATTTTTTTTCCTTTTTTTAAACTTTAAGTCTCATCTCTCCAGTTTAATGGCCACTGAAATCGGGTTACCCCATTGCATCTATGTTCAAAGGTACCGAGACAATGAGTATTAGATAGCTTGTCCAGGACTATCACACGACTGCCAGTGTCGAGATTCGACCCTCGTATCCTTGAAGTACGTTGTCTGCCCACTAGCCGACTGAGTCACGCTGCTGTTCGATTTTAGCGTAATCATTTTTTGTGCATTGAAAAACGTTTCTTGGGAAATCATTTATTGCCGTTTTTGCTGTCATTTCTTCAGGTTTTGCATTGATTTTACTAACTGTATGAACAGAACTCTATTTTTTAAACCTAATTTATCTCCATAGACAGTTATTAGAACTCGAGCGTATTTGTATTTTTATCTTCCATATACGACATTCTAATGTTCACATTCGGATATGAATATGTGACATACAGAAGAAAAAAAAGACTTACGCGCTAGAATTCTACTATTTCAAAGATTAGAGTTCTATCGTAGAGCGTAAATTCGTCTTTTTCTTAATGCAGAATCTGTATGTGGGACATAAGGACGCATTCAGAAAGGGAAGAGAACAAGCAGATGTTATGATCTGCCATTCCTGGCAGCTCATAAGACTATGTTCTCTTCTTCTTTTTCTTTCTTTCTGTTCATTTCGTCGTGACTCATTGTGTTCCTGTACTATCCTTACGTAATCCTCGGGGATGTTTCACAGAAATTCTTAAGTCTTCGACTTAGACTTAAGTCATACTTAAGTCTCCGTTTTGTCTTAAGTTAAGCTAGACTTAATTTTGAGTGTTTCACAGAATTTCTTAAGTCATAGACTTAACTTAAGTTAGACTTAAGTCCACGCTTAAGTTAAGAGTAGTCTGTACTTGTCTTAAGTTTATCTTAACTCTTGCTGCGATTATAATATGATATAAAAATTGAAGTATTAAAGTAAACAAACAACGTTTTTTAACTGTTTTTTATTAACACTTGTATTTTGGGAAATAAATAAAAGAAATACTGGCGCTAGTTAATCAGTGGCTGTTGAGAAGGGCGTTACGTTGTGAAAGAAATTTTTCTCGGCAGATAAAACCCTATGGAAACCATGACAGACGATTTATTGATGGCACGTTATCGTTTTCATTAATATGTCGTACAAGTGCCTCCAATATGTCCGGGCACAAAAATGTCTTATTGCATCTAGCATGTGTCTGCAACTACGAAAAAATGAAGACACTTTTAACAGCACGAGGCTTTATACTAAAATCTCGATTAGCTACATTTCATCATCATAAAGCATTTTCGGTATTAATTCTACCCTTATACTACAAAAAGTGTGAAAAAGGTGAAGTTACACTAAATCTAATTTTTCAATATGCACTCGAATTTGCTTAAACACACTCCACTAAAAGAGCTCTTTCTCAAAATATAATTTATATGACCTAGTTTCCTTCTCCTTTCATGAGCTGTCAGAAATTCAAATTTGTTCTAAACTTTACGTAACAAGATATTTTTGTTCGTGAAAGCCTATACAAAATTGCACAATATAAGAAAAACAGATTTTTCAATTTCGACTTTGTTTCAGAGAAAACTGCAGATGTTTGGGTTACAACAATTAACAATTTGGGGTTTTCAACCCGAAATGTTCGTAGAGGATAGCCAAACATTTTTATCATAACCTGTTCACATTGTGAACTTTAGTTCTTACAAGTTTCGTTCAAATCCGTTAGAAAAAAATGCGTAGAAAGGATCCTTAAACCAGCACACCACTCTGTTAAAAAGAGTTTTGCTCAACGAAACGATTCCCCATCAGAGAAAAGTTATTTAATGAATGTTGTTCGAGTACGAAAAAACACCTGGTCAAGAGAAATTAAATTCTCTAGAAACAATAGGCTTCTGAATAGCTGCAATCGGAAAAAAACATGTTTTTATGTCGACAGACATTATCCGATTGCTCGGAGTTTTTTCTTTCTTTTTTATTTTGCTTAGTCACATTTTTTGAAAAATGCGCACGCAGTGATGTAGAGAACTTCTAGAAACGCGAAATGGTTCTCCAAGTACTGCAGATCCTGACTATTGAGCGTTCTTTTTCCAAAATCTAAGAGACTAAGACTGTTTTCTTCACGAAAAGTGATATGTGCTCTGAATCGGGCACCAAAGGATGCAAAAGTGGAAGAAATTTGTGCTTATGGCTTCGAACTTTATCATATATTCATTAACAGCTTGTTGTCAGACGCCCCTGACAACAAGCATCTGCCTCAGGCGCCATTTGGTCACGGGTTATTCAGATACAATTTATCTATGGATATGTGATTGATATTATAAATCATTCATTAGTGTGAGGACTGACCAAATTTAGCTGCATGAAGACACGTAATCAATCTCAAATGTCTGGGACTCAAATTCATTGGATAGAAAGCTCGGAGATCGTCACAAAATATTAAAAGATTAATTTGAAATGGTCGGATGTTTCGGACAAACACTAAAAATCGATGATGGCGCTATTGATTACCTTAAAACAGCGACATACGCTTAGACCATTAGGAACTTTTCTCACTAAGGGCTAATTGTCCGAAAATTTTGATCACTTCAAATAGAATATATCATAATTTCGTCTTATAATTGAAATTTCCATCCAATGAATTTGAGTCCCACACATTCAAAAAGAGATGGCGCTTATTTGCTTTTTCTTGTATGAGTCATCAGTTGTCAGGCCGCACACTACATTGCGATTTACTTGTTTTTTCAATTTTTTTCCCATATTTTTCGGTGGTGACTATTTTTACTGACCGACCGACCTTACTGACCAAATTTGATTGGTGTAACCATGGGATAGACCAATCAAATTTGGTCAGTTAAGTCAGTCGGTCAGTAAAAATAGTCACCATGGTGACTATTTTTACTGACCGACTGACGAACGTATGAAAAATGAAAAATAGGTGCACCTATTTTTCATTTTTCATACGTTCGTGCCATATCCAAACTATCACGAACTCTATTCTTTTTGGAAAAAGGACAGTAGATTGCAATGCATCTATGCATCAGTTAAGTGCACGGACTTAACTTAAGACAGTGCGACTAGGTTGTGCACTTAACTTTAAGTAAAACTCAAGTTTGAAGTTGTGCAACACTTTAAGCTCGTGAACTTAAGTTTGTCTCAAATTAAGATAAGATATAGGCTTAAGTGTAGACTTAAGTCGATGACTTAAGAATTTCTGCGAAACAACCTCCTGGTTTTCCTAACTCTTTCTGTTCTTGCGCAACTCTTGCATGACTGTTGTTCAACTTGCGTATTATATATAGCTGTTCACTTTATGCAAATAAAGATGAGAAGTGAGTGAGTAGGACCTCACAGCAAGTCTCTTCGCTTCCCTCTCCATTGGTTTGATGAAAATTTTTCCTCTTTTCTTTCTGCGCACGTTCTTAACGATCCGAACATATGTGCATCTTGTCGTATGCGAGATAAAGAATTTACGGTCTATGATAGAACTGTGTTGTTTCTAGACTCTATAATTGTAGATGTTTTTTCTATAATCTAAAAAACAAAGAGTAAAAATATGTGTTAAATGACCATGTCTTTTTTGTGGTACGCGCCTTGCAGATGGTAAATAGATTTTTAAATTACTATTTTTGATTTTAATTTCAAGTCAAACTACTTTCGGATTCAAGGATAAAATCAACTGATAATTCGTTTAGTTTATTTCATAACTATGTTTTTGTTATGTCACGCACCACAGTCGTGCTATATCATAGTTAAGGTTATTGCTCAAGCATATAGTCTAAGTTATTGCACAAGAATATTCAAGGTTATAACGTAGAGTATAGCCAAGCTTATCACACAATATTGCATGTATAAATAGATCTGGTTTTATTGTTAAAGACTTTTTTGTTTGTTAATAAATGGTGGTCATACACATCAGAAAGGACGAATCCCTACAGTTGTTGTACAGAGAGGCATTTATAAATATCACATTTTTATGTCTCACATTCCGTTTTTCACTTGGAAAATATCAAAACGTGTACTGCTTCTGGTTATTGTCTTATCATCTATAAGTAATACAGTTAAGGCAGAAAAATGACTCAACCAGGTGAAATAACCCATTTACGACATGAGTAATTCTGATGTGTCATTAAGTAGAGAGAAAAGAAACAGCATTCTACCAAACGACAATCAAATCTTGATAGCAAAGATTAATTGTATAGAATTTTGACGGTATATTTTTTATCTACTGTTTCATAATTAAGGACGATTATATAATCATGGCAAACTTAATATCCGTAGATCGTGTCCATGGTAACGTTAATGACGATCTTATTCTCTGTTCAATATGTTCGGGTTTATTATGGAAACCTGTTGCATGTAAATCGTGTGAAAATCCATTTTGTTTGTCATGCATTCGTCAATGGTCTCGAAGGAAGACAAACACATGTCCATTTAATTGTAAATATGAACAACGTCGATGTCCACCATCAATTATCACAATTCTATCTCGATTGACAGTTGAATGTTGTCATAAAGCACACGGATGTTCTCAAGTAGTGCCTTATGAACAACTAGGAAAACATGAAGAAGAATGTGAGTATCAACTGCAGCAATGTGAAAGATGCAAACAACAAATACTTAAAAAAGATTTTCTGAATCATGAACAACAATGTCAGTTCAAACAATGCAGCAAATGTTCAACAATATACAAACGAAAACACGATCGAATTGAATGTTTAGAACAACGTTTCGTCAAGCAACAAAAACAAATCGAAATTTTACAATTAGAAAATAAATGCAAGTATTGGATGAAACTTTAGTATTCGAGTTCAGATATTGAATATCGGGTGGCCCAGATAAAATTGGACATTTTCATTCGTTGTTTTTGAGGAAACCCTGGATTCAGAACGTTTTATTGCTTTTATAGTCAAAAAACTAAAGACTGTGAAAAATAGGTTCAAAAGTTCGGTTTTTTCGATTTGTTAGTTTTTTGCACAGAGAAATTTTCCTAGCAGACTTAACTGTAAAATTTCGAAAACTATGTGAGAAGATGTAGAATTTTCCAGTGAATCTTCTGATTTTTTCGAAACTCTTATGAAATCTCTTTTTCGATTAAGTCAAATATTTTTCTATTTTCAGTGTGTCGCAGTTAGGCAACTCAGCACTCTTCAATATTTTGAACGGTGCTCAAACGAGAAAAATTTTATCAGAGATTCAAATAGCAGATTTTGTAGTGAATTCAATTCTCTATCGATTGAACTCGAAGAATAAACTCTTAGGACGACTACTGGGCAGTGCCTCAAAAACAACGAATGAAAATGTCTGATTTTACCTGGACCACCCAATAGATAAGAAATGATAGAGAATTAGTGTTTGTCAATGTTTTTGTAATCTTTAGGCTTGAAGAAACGAAGATATCTCACATTCAATAATATTCCCGGTGCACGTGAAACTAGTTCAATGATACCGAATGGATATGGTGGATTAGATTGGGAAAATGCGGGCTATATATATGAATGTTATGCAAAAAAGACTTATCCTCTTAGTGGTTATCGTCATGGATATACTTTTGGAAAATATATTGCTTTTAATTCAGGTGGTAATGAAATGTCAATATTAAGTATTAATCAAACAACATTTAATGTTTATTCAATGGATGTAAATTCAGTTTACAATGATAATCTAAAATTGACAATCGTTGGTCTCCAAGCGGGTGTTGAATTGTATACAAAAACTGTTACACTAGAATTTTCATACTCACAAACAATTGAATTAGACAATTGGACAAATATCGATCATTTACTATTTCAATCTTCTGGTGGTAGTGCACATACTGGCTGTAGTAACAGCCCACATTTTGCATTGAGTTGTTTGAATTATTCATTGAATTAATTGAAAATACGAAATATTTTCGATCAAATAAATCAATTTTTCGTTGTAATTCTCACAATCAATTTATTCTAGTTTACAAGATTGATGGACTGTATGGTTTTATGTGCAATAGATTTCTCATTTTATGTCTAATGTATAATCAAGAGCATTCTCTCTAAGCATTTTAAATTATTGATAAATATCCGGATTAGCAGAAAACGTAAGATTTATTTATACAATTAAATTCTCTTCATTACTATTATCTGAAAATATCTAACTGAATTTCTCGTTTAACGCGCTACTTAAAAAAAGATTTAAGATAGCATACTAATGATAAATAATTTACAGAAAATACTACCCACAGTCTAGTTAAGTAAATTGAATTGTGATTAAGAATAATTCATTGAACGTGATTTACGTTTACTTTCATCTGAACTAGGAAAGTATCTCAAAAATTGAAAAAATGTCTTAGGAATTGCAAATTTTAGCATAGGACTACCTGTGAAGCATCTCTATAAACTGCTGAAGTTAGGGGCTGGAAATCTGTGCTTAGTCTTTTTTCAGGGACAAAATAGAAGATCTCTCTAAGACCTTTGTTCATCGGACGAAAATAGACGACCCAGGTCTTATAATGTCCACCACTTTATACGTATCTTTCTCTTTTTCTGCTTTTGTATCTTATTTACACAATTGAATTTGTGTTTTACTTAGAAAAAAATTATATTTCTTTTATAAACTGGCGAAAATAGCGTTGCTTACTCCATTCATATGTTTATCCGCAGATGGTGGATCTGATACTTCTTTCAAAGGTTAAGTTATCAGGTGGTGGAAAAACAATGGCTATGTAATTGTTTGGGCCATCAGTCTGTCGTCTACAAATCTCTACGAATCTTCGATGGATTGTAGAATGAGATTTCTCAGATTTCATACCGAAAATTGAGCTAAATGATTTCAAAATTTTAGAACATTACAGATTTTTGAAGATAAAATCGGATGTTACAATCAAACAAAGATGTATCTTTTGAAGTTTTGTAAGTGACAAACTGATGCATCGAACCGTGTGATGTTTTTTGCATTTAATTGAACGTAGAATGACTTGGCCACGTAACACCGTAATTCCGTCAGGTCTTTTTTGTATTTTGTTTCTTCTATAATTTTCGAATGAAAACACATTCAGAGCTCTGCAACGTTTCATACCAAAGAGAAGAGTGTGCTGAATATTTTGAGACTGCGACACACTCTACACGTTCTTTTGTTTAGAAAATATGACAAAATACGAACTGCTACTTTTTCAGATAGCAGTTCGTAGCATTTTCTAGACAAAAGAACGTGCAGAGTGTGTCGCAGTCTCAAAATATTCAGCACACTCTTCTCTTTGGTATGAGACGTTACAGAGGTTTGAATGTGTGTCTTCATTCGAGAATTATAGACGAAACAAAATGTAAAAAAGGACGTGATCCAATTACATTGCGGTTGTAGAGTCACGTACCCTTTAAGAATAAACACTGGATACTTTGCACTCGAAAACCGTAGCTCGCATAGATTATTATACAACTACAGATCTAGATCCATTGTTCATTCTCATCAACGTTTGCTACAGCCATGGCTAATGCATAACCGTGTCCCCATGGATGTTTATCATCATTAATCATAATTTTATTATTTTCTAATGTCATTAACATAGTATGATTTTCGATAAATGTATCATTTACATCATATTTATTTTTATAATATGGTAAACTTTCTTCATGTGGTCCATCTACCTCTATAATAAGAAGATTTTCTCCACTTCTGTGATAATTAACTAGTTCTTGAAATTTTGGATGTTTTTTAACAAGAGATGTATATACTGGTAAATATATTTTTTTTCTTGATTCAATGTAACTTAATCTATAATCATTAGGTATAATTGTTGTATGTGGTTGAACATCTTCTGACCGAAATGCAAATTGAATTTCTTCCATATTTTTTCCACCAGTTGGCCAACGTACAAAATATTTGTTATTCATGCCCTTTTCTCTCCAGTTCCAATATGCATTAGTCAACTCTTGATTATCATTCATATGAATTTCAGCTGAATGATTCCATGTAATAATGTGCCGTTTTCTAGGATAATATTGAGTCGTTTTAGGTACTTGTTTCCATATGCGTGAAAATTGCCACACATTTTCCATTATTTGTTCTCTGTCATTTTTCAACGAATACGGACCTAACATTCCATAATTTAATTCATCTGTTTGTATAGGTGAACCAGGCATTAATACAACAATATTTTTATACCCAGGAACCATCGGATCCCAAAATCCTTTTTCGTATAATCGTCTTCCTACACGAATCTCTCCGACAATTGTCGGTTCTTTGATTTGTTTGTCATTATCATCAATCAATTCATTACATGTTCGCTTATTTAACATTTTCTCAGACTGAATCAAAATACACACAGGCAATTGATGTAGCTAATGTTCTAAAAAATGAAAAATACTGTCTTACATCATAGAACAACAGTAACGATTTCGCAATCAATATGTGTAAAATGCATAATTGGTGGACTGCTTTGCCAATGAAGAATCGACCAATAAATGAGGTCACTTTAATCAGACAAAAATCAAGGAACTCGTTATAAACATACTACAAGTATATTATTGATCATATCATTAGTTATCAATTAGTTTAGCCTCTGTAACAAGCGGTACAAGAAAAAAATAGATTACAATAGATTATACGGAATAAAATGCTCGAGTTTAGAATGGTTTGCTAACTTTTTATGAAACGTCGTTAGAAGTAGAAGTTAACGAAATTAGGAGTGTTCACAGCACCAGTTGTCCGGAGTTGCCATCTATACAAACCAGAAACTCGAAAAAATCTTGAAATTGTTTTCAAAATCCGGAAAAAACGCGAAAACCCATGTTCACTGCCTTCTCTAATCCTTCTCTACTGCGCAGTACCGAAAAAGGTTTCTTCTCCAGCTCTATATGATTTTACTCAGCACTTTATCTGGTCTATAATATGAGAAAGGCAGCCTCCGCAAACTATAGATAAAAAAACATTTAAAAATCTTCATGATCAGGGAAAAACAGCCAAAAGCAGAAAATTCTCAAAACCCGGAAAAATCTCTGACATCGAACAAATTGCGGAAAAGCTCAAAAAACCGGAATTTGTCCGGAAAATCTGGACGCGCGGCAGCTATGCTATTGTCATCTGCTAAAGTTCGTTTCTGGAAATTATTCTAATCTTGTGTTCAGATGTTTTGTGTATCTGTATGTTCTTTTCCCTTCAGTGATTTTATCTGGACTAATGGAAAGCTTTCTAGGCAAGTAGATTTGGATTTTTGATACTTCGCCTCCAAGTAAGATAGGCGTAATGGTAGGCACATAATAAGTCAAAAGGTCAAATCTATTCAAAATCTTTATCACAAAATTGATAGCTTGAATCTAAAATCTGGCTGTTTTACGTCATTATTATGATTTGTTTTAAACTGTTTATTAATCGAGAAAAGAACAACAACTTCCACTATACTTTCGGGCACAGAGCAACAATAGTGAAAATGATGGATGGAGCCTCCATTCAGAAACTCTAAAAAGCAACCAAAACCTTTTTTAATAAAGCGTGATTGTAGCACGAAAATTTCTGATTAAAATGAGACATCTTCCAGCTCTACACGATAATTCTTTGCAAAGTTATAGAATTTACAAGAAAAGCCCGAAATTAATTTCTTCTTATTTCTGTAGCTTTGAGTGACAATGAACATTTAGGGCTTTTCGTGTAAATTCTGTAATCAGTATAATGAGATATCCAAATTTTTCGAACATTTAAACTGACTCAAAATTTGCACATATGTTCGTCTATCTATACTGCACCAATTTAAACAGCGTAAAGGCTTCTGAGTCATACAGTAAATTTTCTAAAAAACCCAGCTTTTTGGAGGCAAGATCTATTTTTCTCAGTCCTGGAACACTTTTAAGAAAGAATAAGGTCATTCGAAATCAGCGCGTTGAGTTGCACCAAATCACGTATAACACAATCAGTTTTGTATCGGATACCTGTCCATCGACATTTTTTTCCCATGAATTATTAAAGATCGAGTTTTTGAAAAAAGTTATCTATTCTGAAAACGTTTATTTTTTCTTGGATAGTATTAAAGATAACTAAGCAATGATAATTACTCGTGAAAAAAGGGTTAACAAGCAAAAAATTCTGATGCCCGCCTGCTGGTAGTAAAATGTTCACTGTGGCATGTCCGCAAAACGAAGGCTTCTTGCAGAAATGAATCGTGTTCCCTTTTGTTAATACTAATAAGATAGAGTTCAAACTGTTAGGGTAGAAAGTGCAGTGCGTTGCAAAAATTCTGGAACAGACCTTTTTTTGGCATTTTCTAATTCTTATCGAAGCTTTAATTATCATTATATTTTATTTTCTTCTGTTATTTTTAAACAGAAGATCTGTCACTTACCGGTATTCCTATTACCAAAACGATTATTCCCTGATAGACGTTGTCTAGTTACATTCAGTTCACTTTTATATAATCTATTACAATTAGAGTATGTGTGATTCGTGATGCTCACGAGGGAACCTCTCGAGGCGATTAAAAGCTTTTCGACTCAGACTATTTTCATCATGTAGGGAATAGTCAGTAGTGAAAAATCCCAAGTTGGTTTGGGCCCATGCGACTTTTTGACGGAGATATGAGTTAATTAATGAAAATGCCATTGACAATAATTAATTAATAGTTCACGACCATGATCAGCTAGGAGTCGGAAATATACACCACAGTTGAAGATAAATGTTGTCTACTCACTGCGACACTTTTGGGCTTATAAACCAAAGCTTTTGCAAGATATGAATTTTTTATGATTCAGACAGTTTTTAGTGAAAATTCATCATTGAAAACCTAAAAACTTGTTATCACTTTTTAGATATCTCTATCGACTCAGGAAAGACTTATTTCATTTAGATATAGGTCCCTAAGAGCCGCTGAGCTTCTGCAGCGTGAACAGAGGTATTTAAAAGGTG